TGAATCAATGAGCTAATTCAATACAAGTCAGCTTCCTATGATTGACTTTAGAATTTGAAATCCAAGTGAAATAGACTAAGTTTATTGCATTTCTTTCAAAATTGTTCATTCTTGCCCAACAGGTTTCACAGTCAACTATAATAAATAAATCCTGAAACAACTAGTGTAGTGTGCATAAATTTGCTCTCAGGATTTTGTTTGTTGTGGTTTGACACAACATTCAGAACTGAATTACACTTACATGCCAACAAGGATGTTGTTTTAATGCCAAGTAAATCTTTGGTTCGGAGAAAGTCATGCTAGAAACCAGTTTCATGGCCACTTTTAGAGTTATGAAGTAGTTTCACTTTTCAAAGCCCTCATACGCATACCTCCTCTCATTGTTTCCTCAAGTGGTTTTCTGATGCGTTATCAAATCACAGGATTAGTGTGTTCCAATAACTGTTTGGGAAGTGAAATTTACCATGTGTGGTAGCAAAACAAAAAGCTAGCTGAGATGTTCTGGTTAAGATTTTATCTTGCTCACAAAGAATGGTTCCTGTAATGTGAGCCATCTAAGCTATCAACTAATTTAGAAGAACTACCTAGATTCTCAAGAAAAGAAAAATGATAACTGTTCACCTGCAATTTACGTTAAGACCTTACACTATGGTTACACTGAGCTTTTGCCAAGTTCATATAAAGAAAAAGATGATCAAAGATGTGCAAGGAAAAACTAAAGTAAGTTTATAACAGGAGACAGATTACTTCTTCCATCCCTTCTCCTAACACATTTCCCCCCGTCTTTTAATCTGATCTTCTATCTTGTCTCCCTCCTGTTCATTCTGGACTTGGAATGATTGCAAAAGAGAGAGGTTTTAATTTCTCAACAAATGAGCAAGCTGAGAATGGGTCTTATACAAAATATTTTGTTTCCCTACTCTTCACCCCGATACTTGGAATAATTACATTTTGTGATGTGATGTATATGCTGTATATATCTCTATGGAGTACATTCCATAGTTAGGTCATAACAATGAAGAAATCTCTTTCCTTTTTTCTATATAATGAGGGGCTTTGGAGAAGACACTTTCCCAAAGATCAGGAGGCATGGGCAGGCCAAGACAGGTATTCCTTCAGGTTATCTCCTTGCTTCTATTAGGACACAAGTCCTACCACAATTTATTTTATTTTATTTATTTATTTAATTCCTTCAGGTATCTCCTTGCTTCTATTAGGACATAAGTCCTACCACAATTAAATGTTATATGTTGCCTGAGCTAATAAAACATCCTTTATAAAGGCTTAGATGACCATGGACCACTCACCATCTGTTAGCCTAATAATTAGGCACTGGTGCATTATCTTCAGGCAATGTACAAAACAGGAGTGAATCAATAATATTTGTATCATTCCAGGGAAGAGCAAGGAACCTGTTTTCATCATTGGGATGGAACACCACCACCAACAGATTCTATGTATCCTATTAAACATCACAGGTTTTAAAAAGATGGTCAGCAATTTGAATTAAGGAAAGGTGTGTGTTTTTTTAATGCAGTAACAGTAGTCTGAGTTGCTGCCACCAGAGAAGGCAAGTGAATGACAGTTGAACCTCCAGATAAAGTCCAGGAGCTCTGAAAACTGCAGCTATTGAGGTGTAATGGAGAGTTCAGATTGAAGTATATAAATATTTTCTATTTCTGTTTAGATAGGGTAGTGGGGTATTGTTTGTTTGTTTTTCATTCTGGAAGACTTCAGTGTTCTTTGTATTCTTACTAAGCTTAGTTTGCCAACTTTAATGCAATTTAAATTTAAATTTAAAGCCAGGGATGGTATTGGGATTTTGCTGGGATATGGAAATATGGGCTTTGAGTGGACAGGTCACATGACTGAGACAGGTCACATAATTGAGACATTGCCTAGCCTCTCCCACCCCCAGCTGTTTGCATTTCCCCCCATTCATTGAAACATTTTAAAACAGAGATCCCAAAATGAACCAGGGATGTTGGCAAGTCTTTAGGTCCAAGTCCCAAGTCTGAGGCCGAGTCTCTGGTACCAAGTTCCAAGTCTGAGTTTGAGTCTTTGGTATCAAGTCCCAAGTTCCAAGCCCCAAGTCTGAGTTCCTATTAAAATCAAGCTTTTTTCCTCAGAAAAAAAGAGAGAGGTGGGTTGGTTCAAAGTCACGAGTTAAGACTGAATCACTGAAACAAGTGAACTCTGAGTCAAGCCACTGGTACAACTTAATCCTGCATGCTGCTAACAATAATCTACTCTCAAATGTTTTGTGAAGGTAAAACTGGGAATGGGGAAAGGACCATATGTGCTGCCAAGAGTTATCCTGCAGAAGAGGTGGACTATAAAAATAATATATGTATAAAATTGCCAAGTCTTGTTGCTTACAGTTTGAACAATTCCCACACCTGGGATCCGGATTTTTTATCCCTCAATTCTATATCGGTTAATGACAATTAATGACTATAACCCTGTGCAGCTATCTTTCCCACAAACAATTATAAGAAGAGGTTGGGAAGCAGAGCAGAGCCATGTTTCCCAGCTCTGCCTGCATCATTGTCATGCCCTCATTATCCCCCCTCACCTCACTGCACATTATCCCTTTCTCTGTGCTTAGAAAGGAGTGATCCTGGTGTAGCCAGGATTCTAAATTGCTGGGGAGGCTATAAATGTACAACAGGTTCTACTCTGATGGTTTTCCCTTCAATGTTCAGGACCAGGTGACAACGTTCCTGACAACGTTCAGGACCCTCGATTTAAAGCTGTCAAGACCAACCCTGATCTCCTCACTTAAACACTGTAAAGACACACTTTTCAGTATAATCTACTGATATTTGACTGGTGGCCATTTTGACTTGGATTATATGGGTTGGTCCATGCAGAGACATGGAACTGATTTTATTTCACAAGAAGGAAGACAAAAAAAAATCTAAACTGGGGTGGGCAACTTCACTGGAGCCAGAAGTCAATTTTCTACCTTGGAGGGTTACAGGAACTGACAACAATGTCTAAAAGCTGAAATAAAAATGATAATCATGTACCATCAAGTTAGTTCTAACTCTTTTCAAAGTTTTCCAGGTAGAGAATGTTCAGAAGCGGCTTACCATTTCCTTCTTCTGGGGGTGCCCCACGACTGTGCAGCTTGCCCAGGGCCACACAGGCTGGATCCACTCATAGGAGGCACAGTGGGGAATAGAACTCCCAGCCTCTGGCTCTGCAGCAAGACACCTAAATCACTGAGCTATCCAGTCAGCTAATTATTATCATAAGTGACCAGGAGTCCAGCTCTTAAAAAGGTTTAGTGCTAAGTTATACAAGGTCCCCTGTAACGTATTTGTGAGATGAATCATCATTGCAGGATGCTTCCAGGGCAATTCACTTTTTTGGGGAGGGGATTTTTCCCCCTTATAACATATAGAAGAGTTTGGGGGGTCCTGAAAACAGGCTGAGAAGCAATACATTAAGCAGGTTACATGTATCTGTGAAAGTTCTGTTTTGTTTTTGTTTCATTCATTTTGTTCTGTTCAACTTAAAAGTGTGCAAGGGCCCAATTCAGATCACACACACACCTAATAAACAAGCAAAGAAAGGCTAAACCTCCTCTCAAATTAATTTTAAAAATTAAATTCATCATCTATCATGTAGTGGTCAAAAAACAGAGGGGGGCAGAAAATGCTGCAAATGCCACAATTTCTTTATGAGAGAAAAATAGAAATTCTCACAGCTCAAAATTGCCATTTATTATCATCTAGTTTAAACTTCAGGTGGCCTTTCCATCTCTTTTAGTACCTAAATTACTTCTCAGTTTTGACAAAAACAAGTCATTTCAGGAAAATGTTTACTTCTGTTGAATTCCACCTACAGCAGACTTTGGAGTGGGGATGGGGAATCACAAGACTGCTGCTTCCACAGAAATAAACAATACCGAAAGACCCCTTCTGACAAAGTCCAATATCTATAGTGGTACTTTAGCCACAGTGCTTCAGTCACACAACCTGTGCAAAACAGGATTGCTCCCTTCTTCCTGCTAGTATCAAGCAGTAATCAATTGCAGCCTTCTCCAACCTGGAATCCTTCAGAATTTTAGGACTAGATCTCCCATCACCCCAATATGGTTTGTGGATTGTGGGAGGTGTAGTCTAGCATGTATACAAGATGGGAGAAAGCTGTTCTGCATCAAAAGCAGGGTCCCCTTTGTCCACCCTAGCAGTTGCTCTGTGTCAGCAGCCAAGTGGTGTTTTCAGCACCCCCCATGTACACAGAGGCAAACAATGGATGCAGCATCAAATGATAAAATTAGATATTTTCCTATCATCATCATCATCATCATTACTATTACTATTGTTGTTGTTGTAGCATTATTATTATTATTATTATTAGTAGTAGTAGTAGTAGTAGTAGTATTAGTATTAGTATTAGTATTAGTATTAGTATTAGTAGTAGTAGTAGTAGTAGTAGTAGTAGTAGTAGTAGTAGTAGTAGTAGTAGTAGTAACTTTATTTATATCCCATATTGTTCACTGTCTCAAGGAAGTGAACAACAGTTCAAAATACATAATAAGCCACCTGCACTTTAATACATGTTTCTGAAATATACACAGCTAGAATAAATCTCTAAATTACATCAGAGTCAGTGGGAGCTTCCCTTAGGTAAGCACAGCTAAATTTCATTGAAGTGTTCATATAAAATGGATTCTACAGCTGGGGATTCAAGAGCTGCTATGTCCCAGCATAGTTCATTCTAGAGTCATTGTAGATAGAGTACATTCAAACTAATTGCATGTTATATCTTTAGAACAGTCCTAACATCCTTAAAATCTTTAGAGTCTGTTCCTCTCTGGGAATTCACTAAATATGATGTCTCAGCTTAACAGCATCTGAAAATAAAAGTTGTCATTCACCCAGTTTATCTCGTGCTTCTCTCTCTCTTTCTTTTTTTTACCAGATCCTTCCTGGATGGCAATGCAGCAATAGCAAGAAATGCAGCGATAGTAAATAAGCATTACTCACTCTCCTGATTAGTTGTATAGAGTAGGCCACTGGTTCAAATGGTTCTTTTCTTACCTCTTCAATCTTTGCCTATTAGACAAAGAAACAGCGACTGTCGTAACCCCAAGAGACGTCTTTCTGTGTCACTGTGTGCTCCTGGACTCCCTAAGTGCAGCTGGCACAACAATGGATTTCACAAGAAGTGAAAGTATGTTAAGACCTACTGGTTGTTCCAGCCCTGTACATCTATCTACCTGTTGAGACTTCTTAAAGGGACATCAACTCCCACTCCACAAATTCACACAGGTATACTGCAGGTGATTATATAAGCAACATAACACTTACATTCGGAGAATACTGTCTGCAGCCTCCAATGTGTTAATGTTTCAGAAGTGCTCTAATAATTGCAATATTAAATACTTTTGTGTTTTTACTAAGGAGATAGATTTTTTTTTCAGGCTAAATATGTTTAAGGGAAACGAAACAAGTGAGACAAGCAAGAAGAGAGTTGGAACACCAAGGAGTGGCACATTTTACTTATTAAAGTGGTACTAAAGTCAGTGACTTAACATTAAGAGAAATATGGGCCCAGGTTACTATGTGGGTCCAACTTTAAGGTACTTTATTAATATGCACTAGATGCTGGACTTTGGGAAAAACGTCTGAGGCAGAATTAGCAAAAATATTCCTCCACCACCCATTCCTGTGCCTGAGCAGATCTAGGTTAACGTGGCTTGACCCAATTGAATACTCATACCATGTCACCAAAGGGTCCATCATAAAAGGATCCAACATAAAAATCATAGCCCCAGAGCCTGATATAACTTGATTGCACCATTGGATTTGGCTTATGCATTTATTACAAATACTGAACACATTTTAAAAGTGCATCTTCCTCTAAAATATATAATGAACAACAAATTTAAAGCACTGGATTTATCAAGAAAAAGATCATCCCAAATATATTGTAAATCCTTTTTATGCTATCCCAATGTGCCTTTTCTTAATGGGGCTGGGGTCACTGTTTGCTTGTTTGCTGGAAGACAAGGATTGCTTTCGTTGCAAAAGCTATAACAGTTCCTTAGCTCACAAATTGCAGTTTTCTTCGATGAGACAATGCATCTCTTCCTCCCCCCCCCCAAGGCTTCAGTATCAATTGCAGCTCCAGAATTGGAAAGTTGAGGATGTTGATCTATTTCCCATATAGCAATGCTCTGCTTTTTTGCACAGGAATTACTTCTATTTTTCAGAATTCTAGCAGGCAATATTAGGTTAAGGTGGAACACAATGTTCTTAATTGGACCTGCTGAATTCAAAGATAGAACAGCCATGCTGACATCCAATGAGAGAGGAACAAGAAGAAGAAAAAAGCAGCTGCGTCAGTGCAATAATGTTCTTCAGATTCGACGAAGAATGTAGCATTCATTCTGTACCTTCCCTGGCTGAAATAACTGGGTTTTTTTCCCCTTTCCTTTTTCTCTGGGTAAAAGGTGAAGGCTTAGAGGAATGTCTCACTTCACACTAAGTTGTTCACTCCTGTCAGTCTGATTTGATCTGTTAGAGATTGCTGGCCTTGATAATGGCCACCCTCTGAGGGACTGGATATAGAGAGAAAACAGATAGGAATGTGTAGCCAGGAACAATGAAAGTGATTTCTACAAGTTTCAGAATGCTTATGTTCCTTAGTAGATCCTAGTTCCTCCTTGATATAAAACCTTGAAAGAGAGCTAATCAAAAATGTATTAAAGATGTAACATTCCCAATGCATGCCTCAGCCTCCAAAAGCAAGCTTTAGGCTGCCTTCTACTATATATATTTTAGTGCCTTGTGTCCAAAGAAAGCATTGAATGCAATTCTATCCTATCTCATTTTCCTGGATATGTGACTGGATGGTTTGCATAATTTCAAACGTTATTTTGTAGCACGTTACCCTGGTTTTCTATTATCATAATTAGAACCATGTTCAGAAGTGTCCTTTATGCAAATAATATATTGGACTTATAGAGTTCAATGCCATAGAAATTGGAAAATGTAGTTCTCCAGATGTTGAACTAAAGTTCTCATGATCCTTCATCCTTGGGTATGATGGGAATTATCCTCCAACAACATTTGAAGGTTCACATATTCCTCACTCGTTGTGGGATACTCTCTTCTGGAGCTGTATTTCTCTAATTTGGGTTTTCCCAAGCTTATTTTGTATCTCATACTGTGAGTTCCTTATTTTTACTGTGAATTGGGATAACAGTGCATTAGTAAGCTTGGTGCAAAAATGAGGGTCTTAACTGGAGGTAACAAAATCACTCATGAAGATCTAGAATATGAGGTTGTCCAAAGCATATTTGGAAGTGCAAAGACAAGTCAACTTTAGATCTGCACTAAAAATTTTTGACAGAGCACTGTCTTGAACTTTTGTTCAGTTAGGGTACTGACGACTTCCTAAACAAATTTCATCATGGTGCTAATTGTTGAGATGTCAGTTTTCTGAAAATATGCAATTGCCAACCGAAGAACAATATCACCTGCAAAACTGATGCTGCTTCCGGGGGCTCTAATCTACATTAGAATGCAAGTAAGAGAATATAATGATAGAAACCCCCCAGAATTGTTATGTAGTACAACACCTGTCTTCAAAATAAAGTAAATTATTTACAGCTCTGACTAAGGTGGCTCTGGAAACATGATCCCTGGACTTTGGCCTCTCTCACAGTTTTATTTCAGAGGGGGGGGGAAGAATTAAGTGGGCAAAGATTTCTGAAGAGCAGTCTCCCTGAGATCTCTCTTATGACCTAATAAACAAAGCAAGTACAATTTCAGTTAATAACAAATTTCAGCTTGATGGTTCTTGTATCTGGAGTCAGAAATGCTGCCATACAAACAACACCAAATATCTTTCTTATTATCAAGATTTTTTCTTCACATTTAAACCCATTTACATCCACAAAGTATTTGCAATATCTCATTTTGAAAGTTATGGCTCACCTAAATACTGTTCTCTGTTTGTATTACTGACAGCAAACTACACAGGGAAAAAGAAATTTTATTAAGACTGCTGTTATAGAAATGCCTTTCCTAAAGCTTAGTGCCACAGAAACAAGGCAATGAGAGCAAAGCCAACCATTATTATCTGTGGGAAACTTCTGCTAAAGGTTATAGCTGCATTCTGTTCCAGTAGTGTGCATATATTCCTGACAGGAAGTGGCAGCTGCCAGCAGGCGGGGTAACCCCATATTCTGCCCTTTCGCTTAGAGGTAGAGCATAAGATCAAAGAGTTATTTCAGCCAATCCTAGTTGTGATTAGGTAACTAGTATCCTATCTGAATTTTGACAACATACTATGTAAACATGCTAAGTTAATGAAAATAGCTCTCAGGGCATTGCCTTTAGGCTCCACTGGCTCAGACATGCATTGTCGGCTCCTTTGTTCTAAGGCAATTAGCCTTCCTTTGTTTCGTGATCACCTACAACTATCTATATATAAATGCTTCAGGAATTATTATGGTTAATCTGTTATACCATTGATCAGAAAGTTAAGATGATTATGAACAAAATTGTTAGCTCCCTCTCTTGACAATGATCACTGACCAGAAAATACCCATCTTGCATGCACTAGCGCTGGGTATCAGTGGGAGGGGGCTCCTCACAACCTAAAGTGATTATTTTTTTGCCACTAACCTATTGCTAAGGTTCTTTTTCCCCACCTCTAAAGCAAGTCTTCACACTTCCACCACTCTTCTTCCTGTTTGTTGTCCGTGCGTTGTCTGGGTCTCTCTCTTCCTCTGACCCTTTCCACCATGCAGTCATGGAGGCAGTTTCTCCCATGTGTGGAGACTGCAACATTCCTTTTATTCTTCTGTTTGCAAGAGTAGTTGTAACAATAAAAATACTGCTGCTAACAATAGTTATAACAATAAAACAAATGAAAAACTAGGTCATTGTTACAGATTGCAACGGTCAGTAAAGATGCTTTCTTTCTTTTTCTACTTAAACTGCTTCCAGTGATTTTTAAAATATGAAGTGCTACTTACTGTGAAGGGGAGGGGAGGCTCTGAGACTAGAGCTATTCTCTTATGCTTTCTCTGTGCGGTTGTTGTTTGTACTTTAAACTGTGATAATTATAAAGGAATTACCAATTATCCACAACAATCACCACTATTGTTTTGTAGCCAAATCAAATTTTATTCTTTGTACATAAAGCTGCCCTGATACACTTGGGAGGTGGGAATCTAACTTCCTTTTATAGAACACAATATCAGACTAACAAATATCCAAAACATGTGTGCAATGAATACACATTTTCCCCCCATCATGCACCCATTTGCTCATTTGGCTAAATGATTCACATTTATGAATGAATCACATTCATGTGATTCAAGCAGGGATAAAATTCTCCCCTCCTAACCACCTTTTCTCCTTTCATATAGCCAAGGCAGTTTGAAATGTTTTATTTTCTCTTGTGGTTAATTACAGTTTGTAGATGAATAAATTGTGATTAACACCAATTATGACTCATTTGAAGCAGCGAACCTGTGTCAGACAAACCACCATTAATGTTAGTTTGTCAGTCTGGATAAACAAAAATACTGAGGTGAAGCAAAAGGGAATACAAGTATTTCTGAACATCCCCCACCAGCAACATGGGAAGAGGAGATGGAAGTGAGGAATGTGAGAGCTTAAGAGATACTGTGGCATCTTTCTGCTTATTTATGTCATATGAAACTACAGTTTAAGTTTAAGGTGACATGAAAAGGTAGCCCTTGAGATTCATAATCTATCTGGATTAGTGATGCAATATAAATCTAAAGGTTTCCTTTCTCCACTGGAAGGAGTCTTCCTGCATAGAGAAAACTCCATTTCTTGAAGAAAGGGAAGTGTTGGTTTTAACCCAATATGTAATCCTGTGAACTATCCTTAGTAACAGTCCTCACTCCCCCAGGTGCTAACAGTAGTTATAACAATAAAACAAATGCTATAACAATAAAACAGTAATTATGACCATAAAAATCCAATTTCTGTTAAAAAAATAACGCCAAAGCAGTAGCATCAAAAACAAAACTCATTACATGTATAAAAAATAAGTCATACAGTATTACAGCAGTAACAGCAGTGTAACAATAGTTCAGCCTATAGGTTTATGCAAAATTGGTGAACACTTTGGAACTTTGTTATTACTTTAAAAATAAACGAGTTGTACCTCTTACACTTCTGATTCAATGTAATGCCTG